ACAAATTGAAGACAAGCAGCAAGAAAAAAATCACACAGTACCGGGACTTACAAACTGAAGTTGAGCGACTTTGGAAAAAGAAACCATGTGTTATCCCAATTGTAATTGGAGCCCTTGGAGCAATACCTAAAGGGCTACCTCGCTATTTGGAAATTCTGAATTTATCAGACTTGAATACCCTGATTCTATAAAAATCCACCCTACTTGGAACAGCTTATATCCTCCAATGATACCTTAACAGTTCCTAAGTCCTTGGTTAAGACTCGAGCTGCTGAGCTACCAACCAGCCCCAAAGGCTGTGAATCTCACCAAAAATTAACAACAACAACAACAACAACAACAACAACACTGTTTCTGTGAGGGAGAGTTAATGTCGGGGGCAGAATGTACCAGTTGAGGCCTCTGCAAAGACTTCTGGATTCAAACTGGATGGTTAAAAAAACGTTTTCATTTATCATATCATAGCAAATGTCATCCCAAAACAGACTCTCAAGACTTCTCTCTTTCCATCCATATAATATTTGTATCAAAGTTTATTTAAATGGCATCACTAGTTTTTCCTCTCTTTTATTTTGAAAGGGGTCATGAATCCAAGTGGCATCCAATGCTGAGGTTTACACTAGAAAGAGGAGCATAAGGAAGATATTTGGGGCCTCAGCAGGTATTCAGCTTAGAAGTGTTCACATTACCTTTCTTCGGATATTCAGCTAAACTCAAACTGGGCAGAAAAAAGGGAAACATATGCTACCCCTGACTCCTCTCCCTCTCTAAACTTTCTGCCAGAGTTCTGAAGGACAGCTGCACTGCGCTCACATTTGTATGAGCTCAATTCTAAACACTATATTTTTCTGGATACAGACGATTGTTTTTCTGCTTTTGAATGAAAAAAGAAAGTGGGAAATGTGTTCTTACAAGGAAATAATTTTGAGCCCAAGATAAATTAAGTGAAGGAAAGCAATAGAAAGAAAATTACCCCCCCCCTCTTCTCCCAGCCTCCTGAAAAGACTCTGGCTCATCTCAGGATCTACTTTATCTATCTGTCTGTCATATTTGTATGCTGCCCAGTGGGGACAATTGATTAAACACATAAACAATCATCAAACACCATAAAAAAGAATAGATGTGTGAACAGGGAGACAACAAACACAATAAGAGCAAAACAACCAACAATGAGCCTGTATAGTACCTTAGCCCAACACCCGGGGAAGCTGGGCTGTTTGTGTCTCTGAGGGGATGCTGTTACAAAGAGTAGGTGTCATGATGGAAAAGGTACACTTCCCGGGCCCCATCAAATGGCATTATTTGATAGATAGATCCCAAAGCATGCTAACTCTGTCAGATCATTCTGGATCTACAGATATTGCAGGAGAAAAATGAACCTCAAATAATAAGTGTCTTGAATGGCTTATTTGGGTGACAACCAGCATCTTGAATTGCAGCTGGAAACCTAAAACAGAAATATTATATGGGCACATTGAGACATGCCCATTCATTGCTTCTGCTGCTGCAGCATTCTAGATAGCAGAAGTTTTCAAGTAGTCTTCAAAGACAGCCCCATGCAGAGTGCATAACAAAAATCTCAATGAGAGGTTGTTGATTAGTAGTAGGGCTGACCCAGAAACCAGTGCGATTCGCACACATGACAAATCTGTCTAAAGACCTTGCTACCCACAGCTTCTTCCTGCTCTTTAAGCAGGAACAGTGAGTCTATGACAACCTCCAAATTGTTAATTAGTTCCATCCTGAAAGTGCTATACTATTCAGAATGAGGAATGGAAAATCCCTAGGAATGAGAAATCCATTAACCTAGAACAACTTGGTCCTGTCAAAGTTGAAATTAAACATGTACCTCCTGACCCAGACTCTCCCAGCCTTCAGACCATGGTATGAACCTTGACAGTATTACTTGGTCAGTCTGAAAACAAAATATAGAGATGAATATCATCAGTAGGATGATACCTTACATAGAAATTAAACAGAAGGGATAAGCTCTATGGTACCTGGATTTAGGGTCCAGGGATTTAGGGTGCAACACTTCCTCCACCCCCAGCCAATGGCTAAAATCAAATACATTAGAGGGAAATTACATTGCAACACATAACCTTCCACTCTCAGTCTTTGCAAATCCGTCTGGAAGGATAGCACGATCAATGATATTGAAACCTCATTGAGTGATTAAAAATAACTATGACAAATTCACTACCCCTGGATAGATTAAAGGCAAATAATGCCCCCTATACTGCCCAGCAGTTATGCCCTTCAATGGAATCAAAACGTATGCGATGAGACAGAAACAAATGTGATATCTGATGATACCTTCAAACCGAACTTTTAAACTTTAATCATTCACCATGCAAAAGAACATAAGTTTTTAACAATGAAGATTTAGAATATGGCAGGTAAGGACAATTTTAAAAATGCACTTAAAGTTGAATGTGGCAATCCCCTTCCCTTGGTGCCCTTAGCATATGCTTATTTTGCTGAATGATTAATTCACATGTGTCCCAGCTCTGCCAAAGATCAAAGGTCAACAACAAGTGCATAGCTTCTTTATACTGTGACAGACCTGAAGCCCATCCAGATGATGATGTGATATGAAAGACTGGACATGAAAAATTGCCATGAATTGGGCAGATGCTTGCATCCTTTTTCCTATGGTTAAGGAGAGCTTCTTTGACATAATTTTTAATGATTTTTAAAAGCCTAAGTGAACGGAAAAGATTATTTTATTTTCATAAACTTCTTTAGAGAACTTAACTTAAAATTCTGTCCTGTGTATTTAAAATTTGTGAATAAGAATAGGATGAGTTTCAGATAATTAGTTAATACAGATTAAACAATTTTTTATTATACCTGTTTCTTATTACTATTTATGGGGTGTCCTTTTTTTATCAATAGATCACAGTCTAATAAATATAATCATTGAATAAAACATGTAGAATACAATGCGAGCTAGGAGGAAAGGAAGAAAGCAAGACTGATGTGCTGGTAAAAGCATCAAGCTTTAAACTGGGTATTTAGGCCTACTAGTAGGCACAAGGCCAGCTGGGTGACTCTAGGCCAGCCATTCAGCCTGAGGGAGGAGGCCATGGCAAACCACTTCAAAAATGACAGGTCCTTAGTGCTCTCTGAGTCTGCTTTCTTGCAGATGTTTCATTACATTCATCACTAGCACTGATAATGTTACCTAAGTTGGGTAATGAAACATCTGCAAGAAAACAGCCAAGCTCAGAAAGCACCAAGGACTCCTCATTTCAATCTTGAGATAAAAATACCTTTATTGGTATTTTCAAAATCTTGCCAAGAAAAGTTCAGGGACCAATCCAAGCAGTCGCCATGAGAGGACACTGACTTGAAGGTCAAAAGAATAACATAAGGAAAGTTGTTTCTGATCAGGTGGCACAAATGGAGCCTCTAGTAATCCTCTGATAAAGCTGATGTAGTAGCTGCATTTAAAAAGAGGCAACAGGTCAGAATATAGCAAAAGGATTGTTGTTAGTATTTATTCACAACAAGCAAGGTGCAGAGAGGAAGGAAGAAATGATGGAGACAAACTGATTTCATTGCCGGGGCAACAAAGGCTACAGATTTTTAAAGCCCAGAACATCCAGATAACATTTGGAAGTGACTCAGACTAATTTGTGGAACTCTAAGGAGGAGATACAGCAAAATCAAAACAAGCAAAATTTTGCTTTAATCTCAACAAAAGTAATTGTAAACATCTTGTGGAGTTGATTTCATAATCTGGTCTACTTTGTGGCTAATACAAGGCCTTCAGATCATGTACTCATACTTGGCTTTGTTTAACCTGAAAGTTAATGGAATTACAGGGATCATGGACAATGATGATCCATCAAGGTTAGAACTGATTTTTTTTATCCCTTATAGATTTTTAAGTATCTACTTCTTTAAGATTAAATAAACAAGTTTAGATGGGGGAATTGGGAGCCTCAAGCTATAGAGGAAAAGCACAATATAAATATAATTTATAATTATTTCTAAAGGAAATCACATAAAATTATATTTTCATTTTGTTATTATCTAATTTGAGAAATTAGAATTATGTTTCACTAAGAAGATTTTAAAATAACAGCAACAATAATAATTTCATTTACATGTGTTTAAGTTTGTTTATTGGTGGATATTGGAATTTGGAGTCTGCACTAAAAGGCGATTTTTAAAAGAGATTTACCAATGTAGAAATGTGACCTATACCTGCATTTTGAAGTCCAGTTTCTGGCATTAGAACATCAAGGGAAAAAGTGGAAAAGTCACAGTTATCTCTTGGACAGCTGTTGGTAGAACTGGATAAGCAACCCACTTATGTACTAGAAAATAAGAAAGGAGAGATGTGCAGTGAAAAGGCATCATACCTTTTATATTTTCATGTTTACGTATTATACATATTTATACATTCTACAACACAGTAATTTCATGCAATCAGTGTTCTCTGTTACAAGATAAACATATATACAACTAAAATACTTCTGGAATCCACATGTCTATGGAGATTCTCAGTCATCCAGGTTAAGGTTGTCCCAAAGGTGCTTTTTTCAAGAGGCAACTGGATTTTCTGGTTTTCTTTGAAGACATTTGGAGAACTGGAGAAGCTTCTTGGATGAGAAGTAAAATGTCTTCAAAGAAAAATAAGAAAAAAGCACCTTTGGGACTTCTGGAGTCCACATTAAATATTTATAGGTCCTCAAAGGCACTGGCAAACATGCTCCCACTGACTTTTTGTTGTGAGTTATTGTAGGAGTTTATCTTTTATTGTACTGCTTACCTCTTTTCAGGAAAGGATATAAGTCTAGCCTTATAGACTTATAAGTCTATAAGTCTACATTAATCAGTCAAAGCTAGATTAATATTGGGATAAAATTTCTCTGCTGCATGTTTAATCAATAGATTGATTTTTTGAGGAATAGGAAATAGGAGTTTCTTATTAACAAGTAAGAGTGTATATGACAAGGGAAAAATGAACTTGTACTCTTGTGTTACAGATTCAGTGGTTCTTTCCTCTGACTCCGTTGGACGTTCAATAGGCTCAGGTACAACTTCCTGTCCCCTCTTCTCTCTCATAAATAAGATTGCCAATTTATATGTGACAGCCATGTTGGGAGGCAGATAAGCAACTGTTAATCCAATTCAAGATAACCCTTCATAGAATAGAATAGAATAGAATAGAATAGAATAGAATAGAATACTTTATTGGCCAAGTGTGATTGGACACACAAGGTATATGATATATTCATATATTCATGATAGTCTTTGAAGGAAATTTGATGAGTCCTTTGGAAATAAGTAATTAAAGAGAATATAGTCTTTATACCCTTTCCCTGTTGCTAACATTTTTATTACTTAAATTGTGCTTTTGATTCTGTTGGTTGGGAATCTGGAAGTTATAGTCTCATCTGGAAGGCACTATATTGGAGAAGGCTATTCTAGATAGAAGGTCAGAGTTGCAAATAAAAAAAAACCCTTATGCGTAAAACCATAATATCAGCAAGCTGTGTTAGATAAACAAAACAAGTAGGAAAGTTTAACATGATAACTGACAATGGTTTATAGCAACAAAGCAGGACAGGATTTGTAATTTAAGTTAACGAATCCCTGGCCACTTTCCTTGCCTGTGTTGTGAGTTTGCTAATAATTAGCAGCAAAAAGATCCAGGTAGGCTTGAGTGCTTTGGTTCATGTTATACCTCTTTATTAAATTGTTCCTATAAATGCCTGTAATTAGAGAAAAGTGATATTTCAAAAGAGGTTATATCAACCAATTTATCTTTCCAAATGCGGAAGAAAATGTGGATGATGCTTCTTGAGAAAAGATGGAACTAGATTCTTCCTAACATATAACTCCAATGTTTTTTCTGCAGTTGGAAATAGTGAGTTCAGGGAATCCCTTTTTTTCTTAATTTTTGGAATGCTATTGACTTGAATTTAAAAGCAGTGTGCTCATTTTGTGTTAGAATACCTACGAACCAGTGTGGCACATATGGTATAGCCATAAGTTGTGATTGATGAATGATTTAGCTAAAAATCACAAGGTAGAGTTCTTAAAAGGTTGTGCTAAGACCCCAAATAAATAATTTTCAGCAAGGGCTTATAGCTGGAAAGAATAGGTGTAGATTTATCCTTGGTCAGCTTTAATTTATGTAAGTATGTGGCCTGAAAGAAGTTCTGAACCACCTTCTCTTTACAGTCTGTTAGCTCTTGTCTTACAAAAATCAGTATACTGATTATATTGTGAGAAGAATATTTACTGCCTTCCAACATGGCCCCTGGCTTTTTGCCTGCTGTGCCCTCACTGAAAATTATTTGAAAAAAGAGCTTTGGACTTCACATGAGTTCACCTCCTCTTTTTGCTATTCAGTAGATCAACTATTAAGACTGCACCGTTAGCCTGGATGAAATGATGCTGCAGCTGAAAGCACAGAAGCCTGAAAGAAGTCCAAATATTTAATGATTTTAGAGGTATTTCATTCATATGAGATCCAAAGCACTTCCTCCAAATAACTTTTGAAATATACACAGCCCTGCTAGAAAATAATCAAATATAGCTTGTTGCCTAACCCCAACAGAGAAGCCTAACTGAAAGGGTGTTACTCGGTTACTAACCTTGGACTTTAGTCTTTTATAAGTAGAGGCTGCTTCTGCTCTTCTGTCTGCAAATCTAAAGGTAATTGAACTGGATGCATGATCTTCTCCCTGATTGCCTAGCCTTGCCTTGTGAAGGGAAATATGCTGAAATTTTAAAGAGCAAGCAAGTGGTTTCATCTCTCCATTGTATAAAACCTCTCCAATCGATTCTCGTGTAGCACAAAAGCCTCAGAAGTGCTAAAATACTATCAAAAGAAAATAATTTATTTCCTTTGTTTTAACAGATTTGAACTATTTTCTTTGTATCAGTGTCCAAGTAGCCAGAAGAAGCTTGAAAATGGCTGCCGTTTATGATATTTCTGCATGTTGAAAATATAGGTTTAAGGCTGCTGCTGGTTTTAATACGCTTCAAGTTCTGCTAGTGAAAAATGATCTCCTTGTTACAAGGTTGAGTTGTGTGGTCTGTTGCTAAATTGAAGGATAGCTTACCTTGCTGAAAGAGGGGCCTGAGATCTCTTGTGCCTCTTGCAGTACTCCCTTCACAACTTGCTGCAAATCTGGAGTAAAACAGATAAAACGAAAAACTTTCACCTTCCAGACTCAGCCGTTGTTAGCATAGGTAGTCCTTGAGTCATGATGATAATTGGGACAGGAATCTCCTTTATTAAGCAATACAATCATAAAGCATGATGTTATTTGTATGTTAGTGACGACAATTTTGGCAATCCCCTTTGCAACCCTATCGGTTGTTAAGCAAGGATCCATCCCAATCTATTCCTCCCCACTCTGGTCCTCAGTAAAGCAAGAAACTATCTCCCCTGCTTCCAATTCCTTCCACCCCCCTTTCTCACCACCACCACCCATATCTTCCCTTTTGGCCACCCTGAATAATGGCATTGGGGCCAAAGTAGAGACCTGTGGCATTCAGCAGTCTCAGCTAGCTGCCCCCACCAATCCCTGGGCCACTCAGAGCCAGTGGTGCCGGCCATCAAGTGCTGCTACCTCAAGCTTCTGAAACTTGTGACTGCAAGTTTCTCCAAATCACACACACAGTTCTCCCAATGCTTCATAATGCTTCTGAGGCTTCCTAAGAGTCGCAAGAATGGCACACACTATGTGACAATTAATGGGACATTAATTAATTAGTGGCAATTAAAAAAACTTTTCCCACAGTGATGCCTATTTTTATTTAAAACTACAAAAAAAGAGAGAATAAAATAATAGACTAGAGAGAGAAATAGTTTCGTTTAATGATTGAAGACACCAAGATAGTCCTGCTGTGGGTATAAAGCCAGCTGGGTGACTTTCTTTTATCCCTAGGAAGAAGGCTGTGCCAAACCATTTCCAAAAATGTTGCCAAGAAAACTGCATGGACTTGTCCATGTAGTCATCAGGAGCCAAGACTTATTTAAGTGCACCAAAATTGACAAAAAGGTACTAGCAGTAGAGAGAGAGTTATGCAAATAATTTGAAAACATGGAATGTTTCATAACACTAGCTAAATAATATTATCTCTTTCTTTATATGGACAAATAGTAATAGAAAATTGAAACTCCATCTAGATACAATTAGATCTAATGTCATTTGTACCAAATAATTACTTTTATAACACTTTTTAAATAAGTGGTAACATAGTTGCTCCTTTTTAAGGGAGATTTGTGTGTTGTGTATGTGTGTAGTATAATAAGAAAACATAGAGCCATATAAGATGTTTAGAAAAAGTGACAATAAAACAAATTCATGAAAGGGGTGTTGTGTAAGTGATAGCACCTGAGATATCAAGATGTTATCTACTTTGCATTCATAATTGCCATGGTTCCAGTAATAACTATGATGACCTCATCTTGTGGAGTAAGCACATGAGAAAATTCCATATAATGAAACTTGAATATACTTTATTAACAGTTTTCTGAATCATTTGTGATTAAGAAACATTGGCACCAATTTTATTTGTTAAATTGATCATCTAGAGAGGACAAGGGTAAATATCAAGAATGGAATGATCTTTAAAGAAGAAGACTCTTCTATGAAGAAGAGGACAGTTTTAAATAGATTTCTTTTGGACTGACACTCTCCACAAAATTACCACAGACTTTTACAAGCATTTAAATTGTGTTCTTGCAATAGAAGATAAAATAAAATAAAATAAAAGAGCACTTAGTGTCAAGAAGAATTGTATCCCAATCTGCAACACATCTGCATAGTGTGTGTGCCTTGGTGTAAAATTACATTTATGATCTCCATGCTAATGTCTTTCAACAGCAGTATTGAGAATTTTACAATCAGCTGATTTAACATTCTCTGCCTTCACCATTAAAGTTTCCATTGTTTGATTATGCGTCAGTCAAATACATCAATCTGTAATTTTCTTTTCTTGTGTGATTAAAAATTATACATAGTATAGTCAGTAAAAATAATTCTGTCAGAGACTGGCTTTCTGAGTATTGTAGTTGGTCTTCAAAATATTAATATTACTTAAGATATATTTTGACAATGAAGATAACAGAAGTAGTGGATAGTTTCTGCCTTTCAGGATCAACTATGAACAAGTAAAAGAACCAGTTCTCAGATTCTGCAGACTAGCATTTGGTAGGGGAACAGTGAAGCCTTAGAAAATATATTCAGATGCCAAGATGTGTTTATACTCACAAAGATAAGAATCATGCAATTACTGATTTTTCCCTGTGAAATGCTATGGAGACAAAATTTGGACCCTTAAGAAGTCTGATAGAAAGTGTGAGGATGATTTTGAATGTTGGTGTTAAGAAAGACTTTTGGGAACATAATGGATAGCCCAGAGAACAAAAGGATCATGGAACAAAACAACTAAGAGTTTTCACACTGAGATTATTACATGATAGATACATTTTGCAATGATTTAGTTTAGAAAAATTATCATGTGAGAAAGCATGGAAGAAAAGAGAATAAGAGGATAACCACTAGCAAAGTGGAATATAAAGCTGTTGGGTGCAACGCTGGAAGACTTGAATGCCTGGTTGTTGATCATCTGGAGGTCTCTCTGTAGTTTCTAAGTGTCTATACCAACTTGATGGAATATAATCTGTCACGATCAATCAGTTAATCAACCAACCAGCCAATTGAAGAAATGTGTTGGGAACATTACCTATAAAAGAATCACCAAGGATTGATTCCAGGTCTAGCAAGAAACAATTCTAAATGAACAACATAATATATTTTGTAGAATCTTAGAGTCAGAAGAAATATTAGAAATAATCTTATTGAAAGCACTGCTTCGTGCAGAATATGCTAAAGCATTTCAGATCAATGAATAGTTTTGATTCTAAACATCTGTTAATACTTCTTGAAATAACATTTGCCTTTTTAGTGGTTACATTGCATTGTTGATTTATAAGTGTATTAATTGAGAACATCGAGATCTTTTTCACATGTATTAGTGCCAAATTAAATCACCCTCATTCCATAATTAT